GCTTAAAAAAGTAATTAGTGGAATGGTAGACATTTAAATGTTACTTATAGACATAAACTATAAAGTTGTAATTCTCAGCAACATGGCAACAAGAGACCATAAAAATATTTTAATGACTATAAGTGAGTGAGTCTAAGAAAGTTTTGTTAACTTGAAGGCGAACGACTGAATTGACTACCAGCGAGAGGTGAGGATGCTGGCAATTCACATATTGACAAAGTAGTAAATAGAGGACAGGGTTACCCAGGCAACCAGACCCTGGAAGGACCACTCCAGCTTCAAAGAGATGTGTGATGAGCACATCACTCATTGTGTGGACATAACATTAGAAACAACCTAACGTTCTTTGGTTGTCATATTTCTAGGTACAAGTTTTTTTTTTTGTTGTTGTTTTTGTTAAATAAAACTCTTCCTGCCCAGCATTTTGTGACGGTGATTCATTAAATATTTGGGAGGCTCTTAAGAAAAACACAGCCATCTATTGAGCTGCGTAATAAACCACAGCAGAGAGGTGTTGCCACATAAAGCAACAACGTGACAGGGTGTGTGAGTACACAGTCAAACTATGATAGAGTGAAATGAGAAAACACCTTACATAGTAAGGCCAGGCTTGCCCGATCAGTTTTGCAAACATATCAAGGCCAGAGCTATCTGCAGAGTCAACAATTGTAATCTTTGTGGACTGCATTGCCCAGAATTGATGGTAGTCTAATACTAACCACTGACAAAAGTGAACATCTTCATATCTGAGAAGAAAAAAAGAAAAAGAAAAGCACTGTTTTTGAATCTATAAAGGAAAACGTGGTCGTTCTCTAAAGGAAGGGGTTTGGTTGAGAGTGATTTCCTCTGCTTCGCTGGTTGTAAATGACGTGCCAAGCGTCAAAGAGGTCAACTATTTTTCCATTCATTTAAGAGAGGGCTTACTTGAACAAAGAGACAAAGAGAGCAAGTGAAAGATAAGTTAGTTACAGACAGATTCTCCTTCTGGAAGGCATTGCCATATATGGCCGCTGCTGTATGAAGAAAGTAGTCAGTCAGGACAGAGAGGGAGTGCTTGAAGGCTCTGCTGCATGTGATGGGAATAGAAACAGGCTAATGAAGCGCAGGCCAGAGCTCGCACTCAGGGCCACAACAATATAATGGCTGTCAGCTGCACTGGAAAAGCGCTGCGTAGGATACATCAGCGAGAAACACACGCAGATGTCAGCGCAAACCATAAGCGTGACTACTCCAAGTCAGCAAATTCGACTTATTTTTCCATGAGATCTACATTTGTAATCCTTAATGCAGGTTCAGTATAGGTCTATATATAGCCCAGTGTTATTATACGTGCTACTTGATTATTTTGTTTTTCCTAAGTTTCAGTGCTTTTTCCTGGGTCTGAAAGGATTGTTTGGAGTGGTCATGTTGTTTCACTGAATCAATGTTTTTGAATCAGTGCTGAGTCACCGATTAGCTGACCAATGAATTTGTTTTATTTATTTTTTTTAAGTAACTTGTTCAATACTCCCTGTCAACTGAAACTGTTCCAAGTTCATCACAGCGGAGTTTCCCGAGAACAATCTGGCACAGGCATCAGTGAACTTGGCCTCAGTTTACCCGACGTTGCACTGAGCGTACAGTACCAGTTGTGACAATGACTCATCTCGACTCAAACAGTATCTTACAAATGGTGCACTTTGTAGTGAAATGTAAATATACTCAGTTATATAAATGTCTGCAAAAAAAATGTCATCACATCATTGCTCCAGCAATGCCACATGTTTATGTTTCCTAGTATGTGCAACAATGAGATAAGCCCAAGCATATCTGACGACGAGAGCCCTGTCTCGGCTTCCGGTGATGATGTAGTAGTGACAAAGGTAGCTATTTAAACAACCTCCAACAAAGCTCATAACTTTGCAAAATATGCAAGACAATTGTTCCAGGTAAATGTGGAAACAATACACTTGTTTCACTACTTCAGACAAACACATGCTGTCAAATGCAGCCTGGCTATAAAGGAGATACCAGCAGCCGGAGATGTGTGACGCAAATGTAAACAACTGACTCCACAGAGGATTGCTGGAGCACTTTCATTCCATAAGACATCAGGAGCAAACAGTAGATGAACATCACTGATGTGGTTGCATGGTAGAAAATAGAGCCGTTTAGTTATTTTAGTTTTAAACTAAAACGTTAAGCAGTTAGTTTATACTTCCAAGGGTAGGCCACCTGAGTTCTTACGCTTGACTAGCTGTGTCACCACTATAATGCTACTGCTGCTGGCACCTGGTTTTCACACTTCAAATCAGGAAACATGTCGGAAATGAACCATGGAAACTGCCCTTCATTTAATGACACTTACAAATGCTGTTGACTGTGAGTTGTGATTGCCGTTAAAACGCTGTCATTTAAAAAAAAAATCATATTGTTTGTAAACATATTATCATAAAATATAAAGTCCATATTGCCCACAGCTACACGACACTAAGGAACTTTTAACAGCACATTTGCAGTACCTGGACCTAGCATATTAGTCACAGTACACGCCACTAGTATTGCTGCTCTAGTGGGATATAACTTGACTCTGACACTTTCACACAACTCAACACAGGGAGCTCTTTTGAAGTTGCTCAAGTTTCTCTATGAATGGTGTCTGGTTTCTGAGGGGCTCTTAAGATTGCAGTGTTAGCATGAGCCAATTTTTCCCAATAGATCATGCACATGGGCCGAGGGGGTGAGCCGACAAAGCCAGCAGAAGCTAGGTTTCACGATAGTAGTCAAACATTTTTTCCCCCTCCTATCTTTAGGTTCTGGGTCTTCTACACTGGTTAGTTTAATTATTATCTATATAATTATCATTATTAATATTATCATTTTACCCATTGTCGCTGGTGTTTCTGGTTTTGTTAAGTCTGCAAAGGCAAAGAATGTCTGACTTTGTTGAACTTGCATTGTAGTACATTGGACGGCCCTTTTGGAAGGTTTCTGTGCTGGAGCTGGCACATGACTATTTCAAATTCAATAGGTAGCATGCTGCAAGTACGCATCTCAATATCAACTTGAAAAACATAAACAAGCTTTTCAACTCGATGGTCTAACACCACAGTCCCACATTTAATTTCACCACCCTAGCTCTCTTGCAAGGTATCACCTGCCAAATAAAGGAATTTAAAAAAATTACCCATGACACATCAGCATTATGGCTTAGAAAGGTAGTGCAAAGCTAAAACTGAAGGTGACTGCAAAGTCTGTGTTTTGTAAGTATGCCCACACGTCACAATTCACACTGTCAGTTCATTAGTGCCACTTTCTGGCAACTTCAACTTTAACAGAATATCTCTCTCCTTTTCAAGAAAAGGATTCAAAAGTTCTACTGGGTCAAGCAGACCCATGAATTTAAAGCAAGTATGACTGTGCATGTTTTTAGTCACTGCAGCACCAAAAAAAGATGCCGTGTCAGACCTTTTTTAGCCTTCCTCTTCCATTCACCCCAACTGGGCACAAGGCCAGCAGCTCTCAACCGCTCCTCCATCTCACTCTCTCCCACACGGGAGAGATGGAAAACAGTGACCCCTTAGTGAACGAGAAACACAAAGTAACTCTGGCAAGAGGAGCGGGAGCCACTCTTAACTCAGAAATCCAACTGCGATGGCATTTCTGGGCAAGCTTTAGATTTTCAGAGGACGTTTTGTTCGTCTCTAAGTGCCACAGTGAATGGCAGTCTTTGTGGGGCGAAAGAAAGGACGAAATTGAGAGGAGAGACCGGGGGAGATATAAAAGGAGACAGCTATAGACAGAGAGAGTGGGAGAGATGGAGAGGAGTAGAGAAACGGGAGAAAAATGTAGGCTGACACTGAAGCTTGAGACCCTGCAAACGAGGGACTGAATAGAAGGGAGGGTTTATAGCTAGGCAGCTGAAAAGCCTGGGTGAGCTCTCTGTGCCATGTTTGGTGCCAGGGGGTGAACGCTCCCCGCCACACAGGCTCCACCATTGTTGTTTCCATAACAGAGTGCCACGCCAGCACCCTAAACACCACGCAACACAGCAGCAGTCGACTACATCTGACACAAACAAGCAGGGTGACAGTGAGGAAACAAATATGCATTATGAATAGCTGTAAAATAAAAATTGAATCCAGGAAAATAAAATAAAAAAGTTACTTTAAATGGCTGTCAAAGTGCTTCAGTTTCAGTTCAGATGGCGATGAACTTTCCTCACACAGACACCCAGATGCTAATTAAAATGATAAAACCTCCGAACTGGTCAAGCCTATAGAAATTTTGAAAATAGGAACACAAGCAACTCCTTGTAAAAACAATTAAGAAACAAATAAATTCACACTGACTGAAAAGCAAAGCTAAATACAGCAAAACACATCAGTCAGGAAAAATCCTAATGCCCAAGTTTGAGATAACAGGTCTCACGACGGTGGTTATCAGTTTTCGCTTCCTGTATCTATGAAGCGCCTTGAGGCAACTTTTGTTGTGATTTGGCGCTATATATAAATAAAATTGAATTGAATTGAATTGAATTGATTCAGGCTCTTTCACACGTCATGACTCTTTTCAACATAAAATGATCCCTATGAGTGTCGTCTACACCAATCAGAGATGTTATCAGGATGACCAGAAGATGTAAAAATCTATAAAGAATACTTAAAAAAATAACAGAATGCAACATTGTTGCAAATAAGAAAAGAGATCAATACCACTGAAACTTGTTACTTTTGAGATTTAGTTCACAGAAGAGTAACATAGAAGTACTCAACAGCCATGTGACATTTTGCATATAGTACAGGTATTTGCACAACAGAAAAGTATTTGCGCAAGGGGTAACATAATTGCGCGAGCATGCCTGTCTTCATTACTCACTGTGTTTATCAGACACATCTTTACCCAAGTGGAAAGCAATAGTTAGGTTGCTGCTGGCATTTCCAGTATGTCTTTCAGAAGATGTCTGAGTTAATGTTGAATGACTCACATTAGCAACCACTGCGTTGCTTTGCTTGGCCATTGTTATGCTGCGATTCGTCACGTGTTTTGAGGAACTTGAATAAATGTGTATATATATAATATAAATATATATTGCTTTGTGGCAACTTTACAGCACTCGCTGAATTTGTTCTTCATCACTACTTGCTCTAAATCCAAAGCATTTTCAAATAGCAGATGATGATCCACTTCCAGGATGACTGCATTTGTTCTTTACAGTGCCAGACATTTGATTTTTGTATGGCTAGTCGGTTATCTATAGCATATTGCTGCAGCTGGGTCTATCCAGGAAACTTCACATTGCTCAGTGCAGGGAACAGGTGTGACTGGCATATGCAAGCATCTCAGACAGTAATTTATTGAGTGTAATTGCAGAATAGCCATTTATCTGTTAATTCCAGTAGTCAGTGACTACTATGACTTATATCCAAAAAGTCTTCTTTAATATGACTTCTAAAGCTTTTTCTTAAAAAAAAAAAGAAAATAGCTTCATAAAGGCTATTGTATACTCATATTAAATGTCTAGAAAGTATATGGTATGTGGTATCATCACCACAGTAAAATATCTTACAGTTAGAGGCCATCTAAACAATATGCAATAAAGATACACTACACTCTTCTCACTGCGCATTTTAGCCCTTGGCTTATTTGTCATTGGGCTGTTGTCATCTTTAAAAACTGTAAGGACTAAATGGTGGCTCCCTGGCAAAGGAGTGACTCAAATTCAGAAAACATGGACATCTAAACACAAACACCTTTTAGGAGATTTTATGTTCCCAAATTGACAACAACTTGGCTGCTGTTTTTGCCCATAAACCAAGATGACCAAAAAGAAGAAGAAAAAAAATAAATAAAAAAATAATTCCATCCTGCCTTCCCTCTCCCTTACTGGCTGATCCACGGGGCTGTGGCGTTGATTGTGCCACATAAAGCCTACGGGCCACCTGTGCTGGCAGCCCAGACAGAAGGCTTGTTGTCACTAAAGGCCAGCCAGTGTGGGCTTAACATGTGTATGCTGGAAAAGCTGGGGCCTGTAATCGCTGCTTTACTCGATTGCAGCACAGAGACACAGTACAGCAATGGTTATAAACTAATGAGGAGGAGAAAGAGGAGGAGGGGCAGGTGCAGAGAACTCCACAAACAAACAAACAAGAAAACACAAGGCTTGGCCAGTAAACTGTGCACAGGAATGTAGGGAAGCAAAACCGCAGCTTATATGAAGCATACTAGAGCAGGGCGATATGACCAAATATATTTATCACGATATACTTTTGAAAATTTGCGAAAACGATATAATTGACACTAGACAAAATACTTTACAACTCCACAACTTTATTAGTGCAAAAGAAAAATCAATGTATTTTCACTTAAACAAGCAGCTTTTTTTTATGTGCATTAAAGTTATATAAAAATTTAACAGTGCAAATGCAAATTCCTTGCTGACAGTTTAACCAAAAGGCATTTCCAGTGGAAATTGGCCGACATATCCTCAGCATAACCATGTATAATATCCACAAAACTTAAGGATGTAAACAAATGCACCGCGCATGCTCGTTTTACCTATATTCTATCACGATATTTCATTTTCTTATCGTTGCCCAACATTATACCGGTATTACCGTGAACGGTATGATATGGCCCAGCCCTAAAGCATACTACTGCTTGCTACTGTGTTAATGCAAATGTAAGATTTCTATAAACTCTTGAAACAATTCCGGGTCAATTCAGATGTGATCTAACTAACCACAGTGAGTTGCTGCGAAATCTGACACGAGCTGCTGTGGATCATACAAAAACAGTAGACGGCTGATTGATTTCAAACAGACCATGGTGTCATGCAATCCTGTGTAATGTGGCTGCATTGCTATTGATCTTTTCACCTCACAATAATACCACATTACCACCCTTTGATTAGACACATCTAACAGACACCGTTTAAACCGTACTTTTTTTGTTTTTGTTTTTATTTTTATAATCGGGAACACAATACATTAGGCAGCTGTGGGTAACTTTGCAGTGTTAGTAATCAGCAGTGCTTTAAAAAAAATAAAATATGCATGCAGGCTCTGATGCAACACAACAAGCTTGATCCTGCATGACCACACTAGTGTGGCTTAATACAAACATTCAAACTGGGATACCACCGTTTCTTACATGCAAAACAATAACAGACAGGACTCTTGCATAACATCAGACACACAGACCTCCAAATGGCATTTTAATACAGACAAATAGCTTTAGTAAGTAAGCTACACACCATTGTGCTGCTTACCTTTCTACTCTGACTCAGAAGACTGGTCACAGGTCAGTAAATCACAAGTCATTGTTGTACACAGTGACAAATGAAACCTGAGAGGCTAGAAACCTGCATGCTTTGCCTGCTATGCCACTGAGGAGGCTTCAGTGATCTAAGTCATGCTGTCAGTCGATCAGGTTTAGCCTGTCAGCTAGAAACTCCTGTCAACCCCTCCACCAAACCACTCTTGAAGCACAGCTTCAGTGTGTGTCTGTCTTTAGACACACCAACACATTTGCAGATAAATTTGTGCATTCTGAAAACCAACTAAAACGAAATAAATGACGAGCCTGAACACAGAACGAGATAGAGACTCATAGTTCAGAGTTTTCTTCTTCCTTTTTTTTCTTCAAGCTGCTCGATGAGTTTGGGTTATAACTTGACAAACTGGGAGCGACGCTGGTCTTAACTTTGTCACAAAACATGCATCATAGGTCCAACCCTAA